AGCTGCAGAAGCTTATGTTCTTGGGATAATGTTTTAAAATGTATAATAAGCCCAACTATATAGAAAAACAAAGGAAATCAGTTATATTGAAATAGTTTTCAGAATATTTTTAAAATTAGTGAAATAGTAATAAACATGCTTCTCTTAACACATTAAAAAACAAGATACAGTGGTAGGTCTAATAAATATTATAACTCCAGGGTAGTGATGAGAATAAATGATATTTCGAGGTATCTGCAACATATACGTGATATGAAATGACCTGTGATTTCTGTTGGGCCCAAATTAACTATACTGCTGATCTACTGTGGTTTGTTGCCTACATTTATAATGGAAGGAAGTGCTGATTTTAGTTAGAGATTTGTGAAAACTGAGATGTACTTTTATTTCCCATCCAAGTTTGGCACTCTGGATTCAGTCCTCTCTATTCACAGACCTCTGCCCTAAAAGGATGATCCACAAGTCGAAATTGCGTGCACACTTTTGCGTGTGTTCAAGAAAGTGCAGTTTTTTAGGGAAAAGAACCATTGCTTTTATGAAATTCTCAAAGGATTCTTGTCTCAAAAGATTGAGTCACAAGTGTAGGGGAGAAGAAAGACATTTCTTTTCCTGTACTTATCCTCATGAGTGACGATAAATGGATAATTTGTTTTAAATAAAAGTATCTGATAGTTGATAACTTGTCACTTTCTGAATTCATTCAAAAAATATTTTTCGAGTATCTACTATATGCCAGGAACTCTTTTCCATGCTAGGGTTACAGGCCCAAGAATGAAACAGACCAAGTATCTCAGTTCTCAGGGGGTTTACAAATATATAGAAATAAGTATATAAGTATAATAAATAGATAGATATAATTTCAAGCATTGCTAAGTACTTTGTGGAGAAAGAAAGCAGGGGAAGGAGAGTAGATCAGTTCCAGAAAGGCCTATTGTTTGCATTATATATATAGTTAAATCAATAAAACAAACAAACCCTGAGACCTCTCAATTTCCTAGACGTTACAGAGGTGGAAAGAAGGATAATTGTCAGTAATACAGAATCAAGAATGAATGTGAAATTCAGAAGATTGCCTTAGACCAGAACCCTGGTCAAAAGTTAGACATGGATCTTTCTTAAATGTTACTTCATGCCTGGTTTTCATATTTTCATGGTGTGAGAAAGTTTTAGATCTGGCTTTAACTCTGATTCCCCATAGTTTAAAATTTTTTTTCTTCAGTCAGAATGAATATTTGGAATTTTACAGATTAATGTATTTTGTTTCGGTTATTCAGTTATTGCTTATTTGAAGCTCCTTTTTGGGTAAATTTTTGGTGACTAACTCATTCTCAGTCTAAACTTTACTTCTAGGCTGAATTTACCGTTGTTATTTTAAAAATCTCTACTATCCTGTCATCCAAACAACTTCAGAGAAAGAAACCCCATTAATTTGAAATACATACTGTTTGGTTACCCCCTGTCCTACCATGATATTCAAACTGTAACCAGTCTGATATGGGCATCAGCCAGTCAGAGAAGACAGTGCCGTAAAGAGTTGAGGATGATCTCTTTGCTGTACTTACTGAATTCTTGTCAACGTTCTTGTCAACGTTCAAAGTTATAATTAAAAGCTACTTTTATGTAGCTTTTTTTCATATACCATCACTTCCTGTGATGTTTGTATATCATGTATGGTGTATACATACAGTTTTGTTATGCGATATGGGGAGGTAGAGTTTTTTCCTACCTTTGAAGGTATGGAAAGGGTTACCATAAATGTCGTTGGACATATTGCTTTGTTTTTTTTTTCTTTTTGGATCATTTCCATGGAAATATGAAACCACTATTTAGAGGTGAGAAAACAATCAATCTTAGCACCATCTGTTGACCATTCCCCCTAACATGTATTCTGACAATCACTGCGATTCCTTCTAAAATGGTGAATTTAAAATTGAGGTCAGGGTCTTTGAAGCGTGCTCAGGGCTCCAAGAGTTCTTTGTGGGAATTGAAGTCTTTTGTGTTTTTGTTTTAGTGATCTTATAAAAATGTGTGTGACTATATTCTGTATAATATGAACCACCTTAATAACTGAGTTGCAGAATTTCCAGGTAGTAATATTTTAATTCTCATAAGCTATGAGTAAAGAATTAATTTATGAGCTGGAATTAAGCTATGAGATGGAATTAATATAAATATGTGACCAAGAGACACTGTGAGTGAAAAGCAGAACGTTTTAAATGCAGAACTCAGTGGAAATAGATTCACAAGGCAACATTGCCTGTGCTCAGATCCCCAAGGCTCCTGAAGGATGTACCACTGTTAATATTACCTGCAAGGAAGGGGATTCTTCCAGGCAAGAGAAACCTACCTTTGACACCTTATATACTTTCTTCTGTACTGGCTCTCTCTACCACTCCCTCACTCCACTCTTGGGATACTGGCTATGTTCCTTCCTGCTTATCAGATATAAGAAACAGGTGCAAAACACCACGCCCTCCTCCTCGCAGCATGTTACTAGACTTTATTGTGAGACCAGCAGAAACAAAGGGCTTAACATTCTTCATGCAGACCCAGGCGTCAGGCTTGACTGTGAATCGTTCCTGCTCCCTTCATTCTGCATTCTGGAGAAGTCATTGGCTGCATCTGTCAGTTTCCTAATTTATTCTTTAACTGTCATTTCTGCTGCTCATATACTGAGTTTTTTTTTTTTTATTATTGCTAACACTTTTCATTCGTATATTCTTGAGTTGATTAATGGATGCACTATCTGCTTACATCTGTCTGAGGGTAATAATTGTGCTATCCTAAGGTCCTCTTGTGCTTTGTTAACTCTGATTCGTTGGCTATAAGCTCTTATGTTTGTTTTTGTTTTCTGTCCTTAATGGAGTTGGCTTTCTCACATTGTTTGGTCATTCCTGAGTGTAATTCATCTTTGTAGTTGAGATTCTACTGCGTTTCTTTCCTAGCTTTAGGGGAGAAGTGAAATGAGCTGTTGGGGCTTATTACTCCCAATGGGTTCCCCTGAGAATAAGGCAGAGGTGGAAGGTGCCTTCTGGTGGCTAGTCAGGGAGTGCATACCTTTCTTCCAGGGTTCTGGGACCTTGCCCACTTTCTCACACCAATTGCTCTGCCTAGAAGAAAACACCTTTTGCTGCCTTGATCAAGGAGGGAAGATGTGGGGTTGGTGTGTGCTGTAGGCTGCTCCTACCGCACTATTCCAACTGATCACCCTGTAGGCAGCTCCGGGACGTTTCTGGTAGGGGAGCTGCTCCCACACATTGAGCTAAGGTTGTGATTTTTAAGTTTTATCTTTTCTATCATTCTTAAGGATTTTGATGGAAGTTGAAGGGGTGGAGACTTGACATGCTTCAATCTGCCAACTTGAAATAGCACAACTTCTTAGGAAACAATTTTGTATCCCTATTACATCCTAGACAAACTCAGGCAAATATGTATCAGGATACAAATACAAGAAGTTTCAAAGCAGTATTGTCTTTAATAAATAAAAACTAGAAAAATCTCAGGATACACCAACAGTTGAATGAGTAAAGTGTGGTATAATCATACTTAGAAGTCATACACTTCATCAGAAACATAATGCAAGCCACACAAGTAATCTTAAGTTTTCTGGTAGCCACTTAAAAATAAAAGTAAAATGAAACAGATGAAATATATGTTAATATCTGTTACTTAACCCTAATATCCAAAATATTATCATTTTAACATGTAATCATTATATACATTATTAATAAGATATTCTATGTTGTTTTCATACTAAGTATTTAAAAATATCCAAGGTATTATCAAATCTACATGTAATCAATATAAAAACTAATGGGAGGATCTACATTTTTTTCCATACTAAATAACTCTTTGAAATCACAATTTGGTTGCTAAATTTTATTACAAATACTTGATTGGTATTTAGATTTCATAAAATTTACAGTCGAAAATGTAGTATCACATATGAAAATTTTGCTAACATAAACATTTTCCAATAATTACATTGAGTATCAGTTTTAATTTTAATTTTAAAATAATTGAAATTAATTAAATTAAAAATTCAACTCCTTAGTCACATTAGCCACTTTCAAATACTCAGAAGCCTCATGTAGTTGGACATGCAGCACTACATATTACAGGCAAAAATAAAATAATTTTACAAAATAATGTTGAATGAAAAGAGCCATGTGGAAAATAATACATGTAATATGATTCCACTTATATAAAGTTCAAGAAGAAGCAAGACTAAACTGTGTTGTTTATGGCTGATAGCGAAAAGGCAAGACCACATTTAAAAAGCAAGGAAATTATTACTAAAGTCAGGATAGTTGTTCCCTCTAGGAAGTCAGAGAGAGTGTTGTGATTGGAAAAGGGCACACGGGGGGCTTCTGGGTTGCTGGCAGGAATCTTTCTTGACATGAATTGTGTTACTTGGGCATATGTTTTGTAATTATTAAATAGTTGAACAGTTGTTCAATTGAATTATTGAACAGTTATGTATATTTTATGCACATTTTAGTTTTCAAAAAGTTTGTAATGGGGGGAAAAATCAGGTGGCTTCATTTGCCCTGATACAGTTCTGTGTGGGACTTCCCAATAAAGTTTGGGGAAATAGAGTAGGGAAGGGAAGCACTGCAACGTTGGTGCAACCAAGAGCAGGGTTCTAACTGAGACTTCCTGATCTAGAGAGTAGGCATTAACTATATGATTTGGTGGGAAGAGTGGGTGGTGTGCGTGTGTGTGTGTGCGCGCACGCGCGCATAAGCACATGCATGATGGAGAGAGATGGACACAAAGGAGGACGTGAAAAGAAGGTTTAAATGGAAACAGAGCAGAAATCACCATCCGTAAATTAAATAAGAATTATGTTGTTTAGGTGGCACCATTACCCAGCTTTCCTCCACATATAGGAGTTAGTCCTATGTAGTATATAGTTGTAGTTATTTTGCATTTTGATCCAGAAATAACCTTTTCATTTTTCAGAATTCTCAGTGAAAATTATTTGACTGAATTACATAAGAACTCATTTGAAGGTTTGCTATCCCTCTAATATTTGTAAGTTAATCATATTTATTTGAGTTCTTATCTATAAAGTAGATTATCTATACAGTAATTAAGGGGTTCAAGTGAGATAATGTCTTCAATTTCTTCTAGCAATTATTTTCTACAATTCTGTAAGTCCGTGTAGGGCCCCAGCCCATCACTAGCACTAAATATCTCCTATTCATTTTTAATTTTTTAACTATATAGACAAGGTAAGGATAGAAAAATACCCTTTAGTTGTAGAGGAAAAGTGGTAATGAGGTCTCAGCAATTATAGACTCCCATATGAACCTTGTTATATAACTGTTCATATAGTCTCCATCTGTATTTACATTTTGTTAATGACCTATGGATCAAATCTGGCCCACAGTCCGTTTTCATACAGCCCATAAGTTAAAAGTGATTTTTAAAGGGCTGTAAATGAAAAAAAAAAAGAAAAGAAAAATATGTGACAGAGACTGTATGTGGCCTGCAAAGCCTAAAATATTTACTTATCTGGCCTTTACAGAAAAGGATTGAAAAAGTTGGTTTAGGAAATGAGAGGAATTAAAGTTAACCTCAAATTGTCACCTACAGGCAAGAAAATATAGAACACTTATATTAATATGAATGCCATTAACTCATAGCTTTGATAATTTAATCTAAATTAAATTAACATTTAAGTATTAAATATTTAAGCAGATGAATTATGTAAACAGTATTGTAAAGGGACTTCCCTGGTGGCCTACTGGTTAAGACTTTGCCTTCCAATGCAGGGGGTGCAGGTTCGATCCGTGGTCAGGGAGCTAAGATCTCACATGCCTCATGGCCAAAAAACCAAAACATGAAAAAAAAGAAGTAATATTGTAACAACTTCAATAAAGACTTTAAAAATGGTCCACATCAAAAAAAAAATCCTTAAAAAAAAAATCAGTACGGTCAAGAACACATTAAGTTACCACAAGAACAAACTGTTGTTAAGGATTTCAATGCATGAACTGTGATACTGATATTAAGAATGTTTAAGATGATGGTTAAGTGGTATATTTAGAAATGTTCACACTAAATAAGCATATCAGAAATGCCCCTAACAAAAATCTCTCCAGCCTTTTGTTTTCTGTTTTTTATTTTGTTTGTTTGTTTTGTTTTTAGGGCCGCACCACACGACTTGCGGGATCTTAGTTCCCTGACCAGGGATTGAACCCAAGTCCCCAGCAGTGGAAGCGCCGAGTCCTAACCCCTGTATCGCCAGGGAATTCCCTCTCCAGCTTCCTTATCAAAGAGGAAATGCTTGCCTAGTATTTCTTTTTATTTAGGGATAAGGAGATAACTGTGTTTTTTGCTATAAAAGCTCAGTTTTTGTCCTTTGTCAATGGCATCCAAAGCTGTGTATGTCATTATTCCTTATTAGGCCAATTAATGATCCTCTTTAGCAAATAGATTCTTCTTGCAAACATAAAAGGCTTAAGGGAAGTGGGTATAAAGAGCCTCACATGACCCGAAAAATAATTCTTTTAATTATCAAACCTTCCGAGCCTTAAGGGGCAATCACCTTTATAATAGTCTCTTCTCTGCCATCTGGGCTCCAAACCTTACAAACACAGTTTGTAGAAAAACAAATAAGATAACTGCTCAGTGGACTAGGCCCTTCATTACTTCTACTATGAAATACTTTATAATCTGATTATTTTATGTTAGCATAAGTATTCTCATTCTTTAAAAAAAATGCCAATCAGTAAAAAAGCGAAAAAAGAATATGCTAATACGCACTATGCCTAGTGTTGTAAATATGAAGATGGATAATACAGGACTCCTTTTAGCAACTCATGATCTCACAGGGAAAATAAACATATAATGAGCTCAAACCATAATGACAAAGTGCTGTGGAGGCACCATGAAGTAATAAATCTACATTTCTTTTAAAACAGTCCTTTCCTCCTCCTATTCACTCCCCAGTTATTTGTTGATTTTATAAATATTTGAGTTTGCTTCATGTCCATGCGTTGGCTTTAAACATGATAGACGATGCACATAAGCAGGATCTAGTCCATACTTTGAAGGAGTTTATGCTCAGAGGAAATGCGTTGCAAAAATAGCTATATTTAAAGAGGGAAGTGAATATGGGGAAGGAGAGCTATAAGTTGGTATTGGAACACAAAAGAGGGAAAAATAGACTTCAAATTGGATCAGGGAAGATGTTATTAGAGCAATGCTGTTTAAATGGGAGCACGAAGGGCCATTGGGTATCAATGACAGACATCTTGGGAAGAATAAGCTTGCAAAAGGAAAGTGGGAGAAAGGCAAAACACAGGAAAAATACTCTGAGTACCTGTAGAATACAAGTGGGAAGAGTAGGAGATTAGAGCCAGATCATCTAGGGCTTTGGAGGCCAAGCCAAGGATAACATGCGAAGCTACCATGTTACCACAGCAGTGCTTGAGAAAAAGCTTTGGCCTGCAACAGAACCAACCACTTGGAGGGTTTGTGAAAACACAAGATCCAGCCCCATAGTTACTGACTCAAGAGGTCCAGAGTAGGCTGAATATTTGTATATTCAATAAGCTCACAAGTGATGCTGGTATTTGAGAACCGCTTCCAAAGAATTAATCTGGTGATCGCGTGGAGGATGGCTTAAAAAGGGAGAGGGTGGAGATGGAAACACCAGTCAGAAGACAGTTATACCCATCCAGGTGAAATGAGAGACTAAGCTGGAATCAATGGAAATATGATAGCTATAGTCAAGAGTAGGTATTTTCGAATAAAAGTCAATGTGATAGAAAGTGTAATCCTGAATTAACATTACATATTAATGATAGGAGTGACTTCCTTTCAAGTTGTGTGAAAGGGTATCTTTTATTTCTTCTAGTAATGAATTGGCCTAGAAAAACAGATCTATACTGGGGAGTGTGTAAATATAAGAATATTCCTTTTAATATTAGAAATTGTAATGATATATAGAGGTAAAAACTTTGAGCTCATAATCTAGAATTTGATGAGACCACAAAAGGTAGAATCTAATCAATGCTTCTGCCCTCAGAAAAGGTTACCTCCAAAATCTATTGATCTATAGTTGTATATTTAATTTATGAAGATCCTGAAGGTGAGACTCTTAAGAGAGGTGAAGGCAGGTTTAGGGGCTCTGGAAGGTTCAAATAGTAATTTCTAAAGTTTGGAGATTAGACCAAAGCTTCTTATTTATTATTATCATTCTAACCTCTACTAGTTATTCCTACTAATTAGATATCTAATAGCTAATTGAGGAAATATTTTCCTTTTACTTCTCCTAGAGATTTATCCTGCAATAAAATACCGTCTATCGAAAGGCGTACATTTGAACCACTACCTTTTTTGCAGTTTATGTAAGTTACAAATATAATTCATTATGTTTGCAAATTTTATGAAGCTTAATTTTTTATAAAATTAATTTGTTGCTCATTTTGAAATATGAAAATTACTACTAAAATTATGTAGCAAATCCTTTTTGTCTCTAGCAAAGATTAGTGTGAGAATTATTACACAGATCAGAGTGAATCATTGTAGAGCAGTGGTTCTCACCCAGGGTGATTTTTGCACACAGGTGACATTTGGTAGTGTCTGGAGATATTTTTGTTTGTCAGAACTGTATATGCTACTGGCATCTAGTGGACAGAGGCCAGAGATGCTACGAAACATCCAACACTGTACAGGAGAGCCTCCCACAGCAAAGAATTATCCAGCCTAAAATGTCAATAGTGCTGCCTTTCTAGAGAAATAAAAATCACTTAACACAAGTATTTAATAAGCATTTACTATTTTGTATCTAATGCACCACATATATAATCATGAAAGGATAAATCATAATATCTTCCACAGTGAGATTTCTTTAGTGTATGGAGGGAGTAGTGATGTTATGTTTCATCATATATAAATTAGAATTATTGCCAAAGGATAAATGTTCTGAAAGGATATATTTTTTTCTTCTGCTTTTGCTTGTGTCTGTTTTTGTAGAAATCTTGGTTGTAATTTACTCACAGAACTGATCTTTGGAACGTTTCAGGCCCAGCATGGAATGCAGTTCTTACACAAGTAGTAAGTGAAACATAAGATGAATAAATGTAAAAAAACTGTGTGTAAAAACATCATGCAGTTATTGGTTAGCTCGGTGTAAGCCCAGTATGAACTCTGGAAAGTATGTCTTGAGAGCCATTTATTTTTTTTTCAAATGAGGAAACTAAGGAACAAAGAGGCCATGAGACTTGTTTAACTCATATATATGAAACGCTCTGCTTTCCATAGTACTTATCTTTGGCACGGGCAATAAAAGGCACCAAGCAAAAACACTCAAATTAGCAGTGTCATGGAAACCCACTGATGCCTCTCCAATATGCAAATGGTCCATGAAGTTCCACTTTTGAATTTTACTTTGATTCCTGCTCATGTGCAAAGTTCCTAACTGCTTAAAATGTATGCAACACAGAGCTGCAAAGAACTAAGTTTAGCACCGAATTCTTTAGGGAGCAAAAGGTGTGGATGCTTCCCCAACCATTATTAGCTCTTTTAAATGGTAAAGCAGAAAAAATTCCTGAACATACACCACAGGGCTCTCCCCATCCACCCAGAACATTATTTTTCAAAAAGCATATATCTCTGAAGTGAATTATCTGTGGTCAGTAGAAACCTTTGAGGTATGGAAAAAGACGTTGTTTGGGTTCAGCTGTAGTGTGAAAAATATATAGAAAATACATTGCTGTAGCCTAATTCAATATACTTTCTTTGCTGACTACTCTTCAATAAGAAGTGTGGGTTTTACACCCCTTCAGCTCAAAAATTCTGTGACTTCTCATGACACAAGGAAATGACAGTGGGTACATTCAATGGCCTGAAGGTGATTTCAGACTCAAGGAAAAGAGCTCTCCTACACCTGGCTTTGGAAAAGACTCTTACCTGTCTTGTGGGTCAGAAATCCAGTTTCACACAGTTCACACATTTTGGGTTAATGAAGGTGTTGAGGCTGTGTCTGGAGCTGGATTAGCAATTCCTGCAGATGCCTATCTTTAGCGGCCTCCTTCCTTTCCCTTGTTAGTTTGCCGATGCCTACCTTTGGTAGAGAGCACCAAGGGTCAGTTGTTCTTTTGCCAGCACACCGGAGAGCAGGCTCATGAGGTCCCTTCACCAGCAGGTTTTAGTACCGTCAATACAACGTCTTAAACTCACCACCTTTCCTAAACATCCTAAAACGGCAAGAGTTCCTTATAAGAATCAGAGTTTCACTATAGTTATGTAGGCAACACAGGACAATACATTGTGGAAATAGATAGATAAAGAAATCGCAGTGTAAAAATTAATGAATTCATTCCAAAACATTCACTGAGTGCCATGCCCACTGTGTGTCAGCACTGTACTAAATGCTGGGGATACAAAGACGCATAGGGCAGGGACTTTGTCCCCAAGAAGCTTTCATACTGGAAGGAGAAAGATGGATGTTGATGTGAAAACATATATGAGAGCCATTCTAGCATCTATGCAGCAGGGTAACAAGGTGAGGGAGTGGGGTGATGAAGTAGAAAATGGGTGGTAATTTAGATAAGATTTGTAATGGAAGAGGCACCAACTCGTTCCTTTTGAATTTGTGTTCCTCTTAAATGACAGAAAATGTTACTGAAAGAATCAGAACTATCTGGTGTTGGAAATAAATCAGTACTGGACTCCTAAAACTCATTCACAGTTACTTTCAAAAGATTGTCACAGTATAGTAAGTCTTTGTTTTGGGCTAAGTCTTTCTAATAGACAAGGCTAATTTGCTTCAGGAAACATTTGCCATGGTGAGACATAAGCTTTATTGCATCTCTTTCCAAAGGCAAGCCACCAAGGGAAGACACCACCCTCAAGTTAAGTCATTTTACTACCTATAATGACATATTACTGGGGTGTTTATAATTTGCCTGCATTAAGTAAGTTTGGAAAAGGGCCCCAGCTTAGGTGGATTTATCATGAATTCAGTGAAGCTTAGGGTTCAGGGCTCCTCACTTGCATAGGTCCCTTCCAAGGTCTTGAGAAGGGTCCTAGCGATTTTTGTATTCATAACGTTGCATGTTTTTATTAGATAGGATTTCCCAAAGTAGATGAGCTTCAGGTCCCACAAAACCTTGAGTCATCACTGGGTTTCAGGTAATTATAAGTCAGCAGGTTTCTTGAATGAAGCCTCTATGTTATTGACAAATATCAGGTGAAGTAGTTAGCAGTGTGGTAGTGTATTTTAAATCCGAAATCTACTTCAAAAATGAGCCAAGAGCTTATTAATTAATAAAGTACCACTTTTTGAATGTTGGTAGTAATCATATCTCTTTCAGATAAAATCAGGAGTGAAATATATTATGGAAAACCAGCAGTGGTTGATAATCCTAAATGTTAAGTATACTTTTTTTTCTGACTTTAAAGTGTTTGTCCTTCATTCACCTATGCAGGTCCAGACTGATGGCTTATTTTTAAAATTCTTTTAGTCACTTCATTGGTTCTAACAATACAAGCTCCTAGATTTTAGAAACTGAAGGACTCTACAATGTACAAAGGCTACATAACTTAACGAGACAGAGAACATTCACATGCTGCCTTGTCTGTGGTACATCAATATTGTACCAAGAACATAAGGACTAAGAGAGAATAAGAGGAAAATCAAAGCCTTATCCATATTGAATTATTTACCCCATTGTTGAGAATATCAATGAGGGAGGTGTGGCCACACTATGAAGGCAAATTGCGCTGTCATCACAGAGCAACCCTAATGCTCCCCCAGTCAACTGTTAGTGGTTTCCTTTAGATAGCTATGTACGCACAAAAGCTTACACACTTCAGGGTGCCGTCATCACTTTTTGCTATGTACTAGAATCCTGGCAGCTTCTCAGATTTAGAAAGGCATAAACGCTAAAAACAAAAAAAACTTGGGTCTGCCCTTTGGGATGATTCAGGGTGGCTGTTTTATTTGTAATAGTTCAAAATTTTGAGATTGTCACACCTAGCAACTACTATACTTTTCTTCTTCCAACTGCATCTTATTCTCCCACCTGTAGTATTTTGTCCCATTCTATATGTTTTTTCACTTTCTTGATAGTGTCCTTTGAAGCACAAACTTTTTAAATTTTATAAAATCCCATTCATATATTTTTCCTTTGGTTCTTTGTGCTTCTGGTATAATATCTAGGAAAGTGTTGTCTAATGCAAGGTCATAAAGATTTACTCCTGTGTATTCTTCTAAGAGTTTTATAGCTTTAGCTCTTACGTTTGGATATTTGATCCATTTGGAGTTAATTTTCATATATGGTGTGAAGTGTAGGAGTCCAGCTTCATTATTTTGTGTGTGGATGTACAGTTGGTCCAGCGTCATTTGAAAAGACTGTTCTTTCCACATGGGATTGTTTTGGCATGCTTGTTGAAAATCAATAGACCATATATATGAGGGTTTATTTTTATACTGTCAATTCTGTTCCATTGATTTACATGTCTGTTTTTATTCCAGTACCACACTGTGATTGCAGTAGCTATGAACGGAGTTTTGAAACCAGGATGTGTGAGTCCTCCCGCTTTGTTCTTTACCAACATTGTTTTGGTTATTCTGTTTCCTTGAATTGCCATATGAATTTTAGAATTAGCTTGGCAATTTCTGGAAAGAGGTCAGCTGGGATTTTGATAGGATTTGCAAGGTAACCATGGGTCGGTTTGGGAAGTAGTGACATTTTAATGTGATTATCTTCCATCCTATGAATCCAGCATGTCTTTGTATTTATTTAGATCTTCTTCAATTTCTTTCAACAGTTTTGTACTTTTCAGAGTGAATCTTGCCCTTACTTGGTTAAATTTTTCCTTAAGTATTTTACTTGTTTTGATGCTGTTACACATGGAATTGTTTTCTTAATTTCATTTTTGGATTACTCATTGCTGGTGTGTAGAAATAATATTGAACATATATCCTACAACCTTGCTGAATTCATTTATTAATGCTAACAGTTATTTTCCTAGATTCCCAGGAATATGTCTTGTGGTCTTCCAGTTTCCCAGGAATACATTGGAACATTTCAAAGTCTCTGTGGACATCTCATTTCTCAGCTTTTCTCTTTAAGCTTCTCGGTTGGGCTGTTTTTTGCCCCAAATTGTTATCCATTGCCTCATGCAACCGCCATGTTAAAATATTTGCTTGAAAATGTTTTCCAGTAATGCCACCTGAGAAGCGGCTTTTCTCACTAGACAGCTCTCAGTCAGGTCAAAGGCAAGCCTTTCAAGTGAGGTATTCCAGGGACCACCAGATATGTAAAACAATGACAGTTCTTTGGGAATGAGGCTTTGAAGGCCCTCCCAGTCCATGCTGCTCCTTCTGGTACCAGGGATGTGGGCTGTTTTTCAAGGCTACCACTGGCATGGAGAGCAAGGATCAAGGACAAGTTCAAGCAACACAGATCTCATTGTTCTTACAGAAATGAATTTGTTTTCCTTTAATAAATTGCTCCCCAATGTGCTGCGAGCCTGTTGGTTAAATTTCCAGAGTTCAGAAGAAGCTGATTCTGACCATTTTTGCCAGTTTTGTTGTTCTTGTTATTGTTGCTTCTGTGGAGGGATGCATTTTCAGATGTCCTTCCTCCATCATTTTTACTGATTTTCCTGCTATATATATATATATCTATATATATCTATATATATATCTATATCTATAAAAATAAATTTTTTTTTTTTTTTTTTGCGGTACACAGGCATCTCACTGTTGTGGCCTCTCCCGTTGTGGAGCACAGGCTTCGGGTGCGCAGGCCCAGCGGCCATGGCTCACGGGCCCAGCCGCTCCGCGGCATGTTGGATCTTCCCGGACCGGGGCACGAACCTGTATCCCGTGCATCGGCAGGCAGACTCTCAACCACTGCGCCACCAGTGAAGACCCCTGTAATATTTTTTAAAATCTCTAAAGTCTCAATGACCATAAACTAATTAAATATTTATCATGGGAGATGATTAAGGAAAAAATAAATAAAAAGAGAAATACATAAATAAATAAATGAGAAAATATAATTCTCATAGAGGCTTTCCCAGATGGGTAGATGAAGTTTGAAAAGGTATTTCTATATTTAGTGTTCTCAAAATTAAGGTTAAAGTAACATGTTTTAAACCCTCCCCCCCATTTTTTTTCATTCAGTTTAAACACAGGCTTTACCGTCAGAGCTGAGATCAAAATCCAGCTCTGCTTCTTACTAGCTTGATGACTTAGGACAAGTTATGTAACTTCTCTGTGCCTCAGTTTCCTCATTTGTACAATGGTGTAATATATCTATCACATAAGGTTACTGTGAGGATTAACTGTTAAATGCTGAACACAGATGCCTGGCAACACAAAAGATCTTAGTTTTGATAATTATCTTTATATTATTCTGCAAAAATATGCTAATAATTCTTGAGTAGAGTTTACCTAAAGTCAGATATTCTTTTCTTTCTTCCTGTTTCTGTTGGTTTTTGTTTTTCCCCTTATTTGTTTTAAACAACTAATAAAAAAAAAAGAAAGAAAGAACTAAGAAGAAAACCTATTCCAGCATTTTGGAATAAAATTTTGTTCCCCAAAATTAATTTGTTTATTTTGTTGATATATAAACAAAATGTTATTTATTTATTCAGCAAACATATATTAAATACCTAGTAAATATTAGGCACTGTGTCAGGCACAGAAATAGTAATGATAATAAAGTGTGGTTCCTGCTCTCAAGTTGCTGACAATCTAGGAGACTGACAAGTAAACAGGTGATTACATACACAGTAACAAAGGCTATGGTACAAGAATACATATGGGACTATGTGATGGGAGTATGGCTTTCACCAATTCCTCTTGGATTTATGTCTTCTACTTTGGCTCCAGAACCAAGGAATTAGCCCGATTTTTGTCTTTAACTGGGTAGTATAAATTATTAAATTTTAAAATATTTGCAGAGATGAAAGAAAAACACCTTGAATTATGGAGGACACTAGAAATAGTACTTTCTTACAGAGCAAGGGCTTCCTACCAGTATAGTCACTTTGAGGGTTTTTAACCTGAAAAGTTCTTTGGCATATTTTTTCTATGCTAGCCACTTTTTTTCTATTTTTTTGTTTGTTTTGTTTGTTTCTCTTTTCCACTTTATCATCTACAGACCTGGGTCTTTCCCAATGAAAGAGTGTTTTACAGATTCTAAGGGTGATTTCTAGGTAAAGACAGAAAATGATTTTTTTTTAACCTTCAAGTTCCATACCAAAAAAATGAATATAAGCTTTCATGGAAGTAATTGAAAATGCAGATCATTTTAATTCCATTCCATTTTTCAGAATTCTCAATCGTAATCCTTTGACAACAGTTGAAGATTCTTATCTTTTTAAATTGCCAGCATTAAAATATTTGTAAGTATTGCAACAGTTTCATGGCTCATGAGATAATTTCTGCTCTTTTTTACTTTCGTCAAAGATTGAGTACTTTGGCTAAAAAGTCATAATTTAGATTTTAACTGGGTTATTGAAAATAAGAGTTACTGGCAAAGAAAAGGATTAAGAAAGAATATATATGGGTAAGACAGCCAGCAGAGAATGAGAACAGTGTTGTAGAACACATATAGTTATGGAAGATGTAGATGCATGTAGGAATGTTATTTAACTCAGAAAGCAAAAAGGAATAAGGGGTACATTTTTTTTTAATGAGTGATCAAAGAGGTAGATGCAATTGATAATGAGAAGTTAGGATAATAAAAAATGATGGTGCTGTTCAGCACCAAGGTCATTAATTTGATGATGCAAATTTAAATTTCTTCAGTAAGAGCCCTTTAGAATTATCATCCATGGCAAGTAAGAAGCCAGAACTGAAGTAATCACATGTTAAGTATCTTTTTAAGTTTAGAATTTTTGTCTGGGTTTTATATCATGCATGTTTGGGCTTCTCCTTCAGAGACATGGGAACAACACAAGTGTCACTTACAACAATTGAAAGCATCCTCATGATGACCCTTGAATTGGAAAAAGTGTAAGTTGATTTTTCTGACATGTATTTTCACTCAGTTGTTTTTTAGCTTTGTTTTATTATTTTCTTAAGTCAGGTTTATTTATGTATAATTTTCATTTCACAAGATTCACTATTTTTAAATATACAGTGTGATGTGTTTTGACAAATGTATAGTTCTGTAGCCACCACCACATTTGAGGTAAAGAAAACTTCTGCCCTCCCAAAAGACCCCTCATGTTCCTTTGTAGTCAATCCATCCTCCTCCTACTACCAGCCCCTGGCAACCACCGATCTGATTTTTGTCCGTATAATGTTGCCTTTTCCATAATGTCTGAAATCATGTGGTATGTAGCCTTTTGTTTTTGGCTTCTTTCACTTACCAGTCTCTTTGGAGCTTCATCTGTTTTGTTGCACCTGTCAGTAGTTCATTCTTCTTTATTGCTGAGTAGTATTCTAGTTGTGTGGATACACATTTTGTGTACACATTTGTCGTGTGATGAACATTTGAGTTTTTTCTAGTTCTTTGGCTATTATGAACAAAGCCTCTGAAAACACTCACATGTGTGTGTGAACATATATTTTATGTGAGCATATGTTTTCATTTCTTTCGGGTAAAATACCTAAGGGTGGGATTGCTTCATCATATGCTAAGTGCATTTTTAACTTTTTAAGAAACTGCTAAACTGTTTTCTAAAGTGCCTGTGTCTTTTTGCTTTCCCAATAGCAGTCTATGAGAGTTTCAGTTGCTCCACCTCTTCAGCTGATCCTTATATTTGTTTTTTAAAAAAATTTAGCCTTTCTAGTAGGTGTGTAGTTGCATCTCATGTTTTTTGCCACATTTTGCATTTCTGTAATAGCTGATGATGTTGAGTGTCTATTCATGTGGAAATATCTTTTTAAATGAAGTGTCTGTTCAAATCCATTTTTTAATTGGATATTTATATTGAGTTTTAAGAGTGCTTTATATAAAAAGCAATGGAAAAAGTCCTTTCTCTAAGATATGTATTTAGTAAATATCTTCTTCCAGATTGTGACTTATCTTCATTGTATTAAAGTGTCTCTGAAGATGAGAAATTTGAAATTTTTGATGAACTCTAATTTAGCAATTTTTCTTCATATTTATTTAATTAATTTATTTGCTTGTGCTGGGTCTTAGTTGCAGCAGATGGACTCCTTAGTTGCAGCTCATGGGCTTCTTAGTTGTGGCATACAAACTCCTAGTTGCATCATGCATGTGGGATCTAGTTCCCTGACCAGGGATCAAACCTGTGCCCCCTACATTGGGAACGCGGAGTGTTAACATCCAGGGAAGTCCCTTAGCGATTTTTCTTAGGTGGTTTGTGCTGTTTTGTGTCTTATCTAAGAAATCTTTGTCTGAGACCCCATTGTGTAACCCCAAATCACAAAGATTTTCTCCTATGTTTTCTTCCGGAAGTTGTATAGTTACATATAGGCCTGTGGTTCATTTTGAGTTAATTTTCATATATGTTTTGAGGGATGGGTCAAGTTTCATTTTTTCATTTAAAAAACTATTTCTGTAGGACCGTATTGTGACAGTTTATTACAAAACTTACTGCACCTTATACTGTGCCATCCCCCCTCCAATATGGCAAGCTAGTAGAAACTTTCTGTTATGCCAAGGCTACTTGAGGGATTACATGAGATTAGTATGCGGAAAGGGTCCTGCATTTAGCACTCTGTTCCAACCGTCTTTGTCAGGTCAGCTGACAAATGACTGTCTTCACCACGCTGTCACACATGGCTCACTTCTCTAACCTCATCTTCCTCAGCCTCCAAAAGCATCTGCCCCAATTGCAATCCCTCTCTTGTCAGCTAGATGCCCTCCTCTCTGGATATTAAAAATTATTTCCCTATGTAACTACAATACTGTTAACACACAGTATTGAAGAAATTAAATTCCTACAAATAATATTACCTAATAAAGAGTTGCTATTCAAATTTCCCCAATTGTCTCTCTCATATAATATCATTTCTTTTAACAGCTTTTTGAGGTATAATTGACATACAGTAATCTGTATTCACACACACACGTACATAAACACCATGAAGACATCACCAAAATCAAAATGTCCATCACCTCAGAACGTTTCTTAATGTCTCTTTATAATTTTTCCTTCCCATCGTTCCTTGCCCTTCCCAATCGCCATGCAAACATTGCTCTGCTTTCTGTTTGCATTTTCTAGAATTGTATGTAGATGGAATCATACAGTGTATACTTTTTTCTAACTGGCTTCTAACTCAGCATGATTATTTTAATCTTCATATTGTTGTATATATCAGTAATTCATTTCTGTTTATTGCTGAACAGTATTCCATTATATGGATGTACCCCAATTTATCTATTCACCATTGATGGACATTTGAGTAGTTTCAGTCTTTGTCTATTACAGATAAAGTTGCTATGAATATTTGTGTACCAGTCTTTGTATGGATGTATACATCCATTTCTCTTGGGTAAATACCTGCAAGTAGAGTGGCTGGATCATTGGTAAGTGTATGTTTTAGTTTTTAAAAAATACCTATTTTCCATAGTGGTTTGATCATTTTACATCTCTACCAGCAGTGTATGAGAGTTGCATCTTCTTTATGTTGCATCCAACACTTGCTATGCCCAGTATTTTTAATTTTAGAAAGTTTAATAGGTGTGTAATTTTATCTCACTGTAGTATCCCTAATGATTAATCATGTCAAAATCTTTTCATATGCTTATTTTCCATCTGTATATCTTTGAATCTTTTATCTATATTTTTCTGGAGTTTTGAGAGTTCTTTATATATTCTGGAAATTAGTCCTTTATCCAATATGTAAGTTGCTAAGTATTTCTCCCATTGTGGGACTCATCTTTTCATTCTCTCAGGTGTGTTTTTTGCAGGGCAGAAATTCTTAATTTTGATGGTGTCTAGTTTATCTATTTTTTTCTTTTATGGATTATGCTTTTGGTGTTGTATCTATGAAATCTTGCTGAACTGAAGGTCATAAAATTTTTCACCTGTTTTCTTTTAGAAGTTTAATAGTTTTATGTTTTACATTTAGATCTTTGAACCAATTTGAATTCATTTCTGTATATCGTTTGGATGGAAGTTCTTTTGTTTTTTTTTTTTGCACCTGGATATTCAATTGTTCCAGCATCATTTGGTGAAAAGACTATCGTTTCTCCACTTAAATGCCTTTGAACCTGAAAGTCAGTTGTCCACATCTCTCTACTTCTGAACTTTCTCTTCTGTTCCTTTGATGTTTTTGTCTATCTTTACACTACTATCACAATGTCTTGAAAGTATAGCTTCATAACGCTTGAAATCAGTTTCTGTTCTTCAAATTTGTTCTTTTTCAACGTTGTTTTAGTTATTCTAAATTTTATTTCCATATGAATTTTAGAATTAGCTTGTCAATTTCTATAGAAAAGCCTACTGGGATTTTGATCTATAAATCAATTTGGGGAGAATTGATGTCTTAACAATATTGAATCTTCTGATCCATGAATACATTATATCTCTCCATTTATTTAGGTCTTCCTTAATTTCCCCCAGCAATATTTTACAGTTTTCAGTGTGCAAGTCTTCTACATCTTTTGTCAGATTTATTCTAAGTATTTTATATGTTTGATTCTATTATAACTAGTATTTTAAAACTTTGATCTCTGATTGTTCGTTGAGATTAATTAATCTTTTTGTATGTTGATATTGTATCCTGCAAACTTGATAAACTCATTTATTAGTTCCAGTAGAATTTTTGTAGTTTCTATCAGGTTTTCTACATAATCATGTTATCTGCAAATATAGTTTTACTTCTTCCTTTCCATTCTGAATATCTCTTTTCTTTCTATTGCCCTATTGCACTGGCTAGAACCTTCAGTGCAATGTCAAATAGAAGTAATGAGAGTAGACATCCTTGCTTTTGTCCTTATCCTGGAGAGAAAGTACTTTGTCCTTCACCATTAAAGATGATGTTAGTTGTTTTGTAGAAGTCATTTATCAAGTTGAGGACGTCTCCTTCCATTCCTAGTCTACTGAGGGCTGTTTTTTCTTTAATCAGGAATGGATGTTAGATTCTTTTACTGTTTTCTTGCATCTATTGCAATGATTATGTGATATTTCCCTTCTTTTCTTTTCTTAATTTGTTTATTTATTTTTGGCTGCATTGGGTCTTCATTGCTGCATGCAGGCTTTCTCTAGTTGTGGCGAGCAGGGACTAAACTTCGTTGTAGTATGCAGGCTTCTCATTACCGTGGCTTCTCTTGTTGCAGAGCACAGGCTCTGGGTGAACAGGCTTCACTAGTTGTGGCACATGGGTTCAGTAGTTGTGGCTCACAGGCTCTAGAGCGCAGGCTCAGTTGTTGTGGTGCACGGGCTTAGTTGCTCCGTGGCATGTGGGATCTTCCTGGACCAGGGCTGAAACCCATGTCCCCTGCACTGGCAGGTGGATTCTTAACCACTGCCCCACCAGAGATGTCCTGATTTTTCTTTTTTAGTGTACTAATTTGGGTACATTGATTTTCAAATATTAAACCAACCTTCATTCTTCAGATATACCTCACTTGGTCATGATGTGTCATCTTTTTATATATTATTGAATTTGATATGCTAAAATTTTGTTAAGAATTTTTCACTCTGTGTTCATGAGAGATATTGGTCTGTAGTTTTCTTGTAATGTCATTGTCTAATCTTGATATGGTGAAAGTTGGCCTTATAAATAAGTTGGGAAGTATTCCCTTCTCTTCAACTTTCTGGTAGAGTTTGTGTGGAATTGGCATTATTTTATTCCTTAAATGTTTGGTAGAATTTATCAGTAAAGCCACCTGGACTTGAAGCTTTCTTTGTTGGAAGGTTTTAAACTGCACATCCAATTTCTTTAATATCTGTATTCTTGAATAAACTTTAGTAGTGCTTGTCTTTCAAGGAATTTGTCCATTTCATCTTGAATTTATTAGTATAAAGTATTCTATATATTCTCTTATTATCCTTTTCATATCTATAGTATTTTTCTGCTTTCCATTTTATTTATTTCTACTTTGATCTTTATTGTGTTCTTTCTTCTC